TCTCCCAGAAGATTTCACCATGATGGTGCTGCCATTACTTACAGCTGATTTTTCAGCCCCAGCTAACCAGCATCAATTGTCCTAGTAAAGCAAAGGTTTTGCTTCAGGTTCTGGTCTCTTCTTAATCACAGCTGATTCTTCAGCCCCAGCTAACAAGAACCCACAGATTCTCAATCCAAAATATCACATGAACAGCCCTGATAGTCTCTGCTTCCCTTTGAAGCTTCACAAGCCAGGCCTCCATTGTCTACAACTCTTCCAGCATAACTGTTCCAAGCTCCACTGCAACAAACTCTGGGCACGCAATGGCTTTTCCAGCCCAAAGTTCACTGCAACAAACTCTGGGCATGCAATGGCTTTTCCAGCCCAAAGTTCCAAACACTTCCACAGTGCCCCCCAAAACACCAAAGTCAGGTACTCTCACAGCAATACCCCACTCCTGGTACCAATTTCTGTCCTGGTTTGTTTCTTCATTGCTGTGACAAAATAAAACACTCTGACCAATACCAACTTGGGGAGGAAAGGGTTTATGCAGCTTACAACTCCCAGGTCACAGCTCACCAGGGAGCCCAAGGTAGGAACTCAGGGCAGGAACCTGGAAGCAAGATCTGGAGCATAGGCCATGCAGGAACTCTGCTTACTGGCTTGCTCCCTTGGCCCCTGCTCAGCCTTCTTTCTTATGCAACACAGGCCCACCTGCCCAGGGGTGGCACCACCCACAGTGGGCTGGGCCCTCCCACATCACTCATCAAGAAGATACCCCTCAGATATGGCCACAGGCCAGTCCAATAGAGCAAATTCCCCAACTGAGGCTCCCTCAACCCAGGTGTGTCAAGTTGACACTAAAGCTATCCAGCACACCTCCTAAGAGGACAATAATACTTTGACAGAGCCACCAGAGGCCCTTGGAATGTGGGGAGAGGCAGCTGCTGGACTAGTGAGAGGAGCTTACCTTGCAGATCTCTGATGAGTCGCTCACTGGTAGTGATATTATTCACTAAAACCGCCTGCAGGGAAGACAAAGGCCAGATTAAATGCCACATTTAGCACCTTCCCTTGAGAAGAGAAAGGCGCATACCCCAGCCCCACGGGTGGGAAGCCATGTTCTGCTGGCCTGCGCTATCCATCCAGTAGGGGTGAAAAGGAACCAGCCAGTTGAGGCATCTGCTTTCCTACCACCAGGAGAGGATAATCAGATCTGGTCCTCCATTCCAGTTCCCTGCCTGGCCTGGCTTCTTCCTCTCCCTGACCAGCACTCACATAGCAGCAAACCCTATCACAGACCTCTGGGCACACAGTGAGTTACACCAAGTAGAGAATGATAGCAGAGGAAAGGAAAGACTAATGCAACCCAATAATAACAACATACAAACAAAGGAAAAGTGTGTTGAGTGACAATCTGTCCGCCAGTCAAATGCACTGTGGAGTGGTTTAGGGCAGACACTCCGGTCTACACCTCACATCCATCTGCTCATTTACCCTTCACAGAGCTGCAGGAGCTGGCCAGGTCATTATCTCACTGCACGGGACTGGCACTGAGGCACAGCTTCCTTAAGTGACTCAAAATCAGAACAGCTTATAAAGAGACAGACAAATGCCACCATACCAGGCACGTTCTAGAGAGCAAGATCTTAGTAGCTGCCTTGCAAACCACAGGCTGTACCTGTCATGCTTCCTTTTAGGAGTCAGCCTGACAGGACTGAGGAACCCCTGAAGAGATGCTAATGTATTTTTTCTGGTTGTTGGTGAGTTTCTACAGGAAACTGGCATGGAGTCTGTGTGCTGAGAGGACAAGATCTCTCCTCCATGTCTGTGAGCACCATCCAATCTGCTGGGTGCCAGGGACACTGGAACAGGACTGAAAATGATTTCTCTCTCTCTCTCTCTCTCTCTCTCTCTCTCTCCCCCTCCCTCCCTCCTTCCCCCCCCCTCTAGATGTAGGGTATGTTCCTTCTGAGGCACAGCTGTGACAGGAGAGCTCCAGCACTTGGGACTCTAGGGCTTCTACTAGCAGCTAAGAACCACAGCACCAGCTTCCCTGGGTCCCAGTCTTTCAAACATGGACCAAATCAGGCTCTGAGGATCCAGTACCCTCGGGTCTCCAGCCCACAGGCAGCCTGGCCCGGGACTTCTCCGCCACCATAATCCCATGAACCAATTTCATCGATAAGTCCTCTCTCAAGTCTAGTGGTTCAGTCTCTGTAGAGAACCCTGAATAAATAAATACAGCATCCAATGCTAAAAACAAAAAGAACCTGAGATGAGGCGTGGTGGTTTGAATGAAAATGTCCCATATGGGCCCAAGTATTTAATACTTGGCCCCAGTTGGTGGTGCTGTTTGGGGAGTTTCAGGAGGTGTGACCTTGCTGGAGGAAGCACATCACTGGGGGTGGGCTTTGAGAGTTCATAGCCATGGCCCACTTCCAGTTTCACTCTCTCTGCTTCCTGTGTCTGCCTGAGGCTGTGAGGACTCAGCTTTCTGCTCTGACTGTGTGCTGCTGGCATGCCTCCCCTGCCATGATGGATGTTGTCCTTCTGGAAACATAAACCAAAATAAACTTTTCCTTCTATAAGCTGACTTGGTCATGGCATTTTATCACAGCAAGAGAAAAGTAGCCAATACACAGGGGAACCAAAGATCAAATATCAGAGTACTTCACACTGGCAAGAGCTACTCAGTAAAAACACACAAGTGTTAGGCATGGTGGCGCATGTCTTTAATCCTATCACTTGGGAGGCAGAGGCAGGTGGATCTCTATGAAATGAGGTCAGCCTGGTCTACATAGTGAGTTCCAGTCCAGATGGAGTTCAGGAGCTACAGGAGACTCTGTCTAAAAAAAAAATCTGGAGCTAGAGAGTTGGCTCCATGGTTAAGAGCTCTGGTTGCTCTTGCAAAACACCTGGATTAGTTCCCAGCACTCACATGGCAGCTAACAACTGTCTATAACTCCAGTGCCAGGGATCTGATGCCCTCTTCTGACCTCCACAGGCATTGCATGACACAGCTGCACTTACATATATATAGGCAATACACTCATACACATAAAGTAAAAATAACATTTGTTAAAGCCATATAGCAAGCAGGGAAGGGATTACCTCTTTTTCCACATCTGTAGTCAAACTACTCTTCTATTCACTGCTCGTCCATATAAAAGTAAATTCCTCACTGCTTGTCCATATAGAAGGATGCCAGTGATTAGGCTGGAGCCAGTTCTGTCTGTAATCCCTCCTTCACATGCTCCTTAAAATGAAAACCTCTGGCCTTTGTGACCACAGCATTCCTTCACCTCTATACATCCACTGTTGCAAACAACAAGAAGCTGAACGCTGCTCTTCAGCTGAACTCTGGTAAGGCCTGTGAGGGGTGGGGGAGGCAGGCCACTGGAAAAGCACAGCTGCCTTCTGACAACACCCCACTCAGGAATCCCACAGTGTATTGAGTGGGGGAAGCAGGCCACTGGAAAAGCACAGCTGCCTTCTGACAACACCCCACTCAGGAATCCCACAGTGTATTGAGTGGGGGAAGCAGGCCACTGGAAAAGCACAGCTGCCTTCTGACAACACCCCACTCAGGAATCCCACAGTGTATTGAGTGGGGGAGGCAGGCCACTGGAAAAGCACAGTGCAAGAGACGTGAGTAAGCACCTGGAGCTGTAGCAACAAGCAGTCTACATCCCCATTTCCAGGCTGAGCACTGGGCAGAAGGCAACAAAAAACTCTCAACAGAAAGTGGATATTAAGGATGTGGTTCAGCATCTCTCCAGGCCTCAATTTTCTTATAATTTTCCCACATATACTGGCAAAACCTCTAGGATTATGCATGCTGATGTATGTTTTATAAGGTCGTTACTGAAATATGCGACACATACCAAAGAGAGTTCGGTGGAAGGCAGAATTCCACTCTTGTGAGCTAGCCTTATACAAGTCCCAGGGAGGAACGCAGGTCATGTTACAGTAAGGACCAGAGACTGAAATATCAAGATTAACATATAAAGGAGGGGCTGGAGAGATGGCTTAGTGGTGAAGAGCACTTGCTGCTCCCAAACCTGTAAGAACAAGAAATTTCCTTTGTTTCTTTAGATCCGAGGTTTCTTTCCCTTCAGGGTCCACCATGGCTGTCTGTGGCCATGATGTTCTTCTAGAGGATATGTCATCTCAGCTTCTTTTCTACTGAACCTGTATTATATTGTTTTATTTTAAACACACCCCGGCTATATAGGCCCTGGGATAAATACCCCTCCCTACATCTGTCCCTGAGAAGCTGGACACAGGAGTGGCCACCCAAGAGTGAACATCTTATTTTAAGGCCGGACAGACTCAGCTAGCCTCATTGGGTAGAGGGGCACCAGATGGTCAGGACATGGCCATCACCAGGAGACCTAAGACCTTGTATTTCTAGGAGAAGGGCCAGGCATTTTTCTAGCTACAGAGGCCACCAGTGGGTACAGCATGGCTTCTGTGGGGTCAAGGTCATGACCTTGGTCTGTAGGGCCCAGAGCTCAGCCCCTAGACCTGCCAGCAATCCAATGCCCCACCTGCACAGTGTTGGAACCCATGAGGTCTTGCACTGGAGAAGCATAGAGGAGAGAAGTCAGAAAACATGAGTCAAAAATGAGAGGACGAGCCTGGACAGGCCAGAAGTCCAGTACACTGGTGCTGGCCCTCAAGGGTCCCCAGCTATCCCCAAGGGCTGGGCCACAAACTTTGGTTAAGACCTAGAGAGGAAAGAGGGGGAGCTCTATGTGATGCCCTTTAAACACTTTGTCTCACCCCAAATTCCAGAGATGCTTCTAGGGTGCAGCAGCATCAAGCAGAGACACTTCTCCTGAGCTACATCCGAGCAATTGCCATCAAGCTACTGACCCGCTGCATCCCTGGGACCTGGTTCAGAGCTTCCCTGGGCTGGTGCCTTTCCAGGTGCATCTGGGAAGATGACCCAAGCATGATCAGTGATGCCCAGAGAAACTGTCCAAACCACGAAGCCTTCAAGACCCACAGGGGCACGTGACCCAGCTGGACTCAAACCCAAATTTTTTTAAAAAGTGCATTTAGACAATCGGTGACTCACAAAATGGTGAGTCTTGAAAACTGTTGTAATAATAGAGACCAGGGGAAGGCTAGTGAATATTCTAACTTTGATTATAAACATCTGTATCATTTAAAAAAAAAAAAAAAAGGGACGTGGCTCAGGCTCAGGGGTTGAGCACTGCCTAGCATGTGTACAGAGAAAAGGAATGGAAGGAAAAGAGAGAGAAACTGAAACCCTAAAATAATGGAGAGAGAGGCACTGGCATGGACATGACAATACATAATCTAGCAGAGCAGCCTACAGTGCCAACACACAGAGAGGGAGCAGAGGACCCAGTGTGCCCACACTGAGAGGGAGCAGAGGGGCCTACTGTGCCCACACACAGAGAGGGAGCAGAGGGCCCAGCGTGCCCAGAGAGGGAGCAGAGGGCCCACTGTGCTCACACACAGAGAGGGAGCAGAGGGCCCACCGTGCTCACACACAGAGAGGGAGCAGAGGGCCCACCATGCTGACCCATAGAAGCAGTGTTCAGGGAAAGTTGAGCCTGTGTTTTGAACACCAAGAATCTTCTTCTGGGAATTGAAAAAGCACCCCAATTTGCAACTTGGGCTACTAAAGCTCTAGCAAATGGCAGGAATGCAGGAGAGAGTGTGTGTCAATGTGGGTATGAAAATGAACCAATGTAGGAGCCTGAACATGTTGAAAACATCATGCCATCTGACTTTATGGGGCATACCTGAAATTTCAGCACTTGGGAATTGGAGGTTGGAGGACCTCAAGTTTGAAGGCCAGCCTGGGCAACATGGCAGGGAGGGAGAGGACAGAACATTATGTGAAGTGACACAGGCCCAACACCTAAGGATGACTCCACTTACAGTAGGTACCCAGAAGAGGCAGCCATAGACAGGAAGCAAAATGATAGTCTCCAGGAGATGGAGAAGAGGAAGCTGAGGTGCTATTGCTTAATAAGTATGGAGT